TTTCATGTTGTTACCACTTGTTGTTTCAAAGTTATGTCCCGGACAAGAAAAGGGGACGGACGGACGGACAAGGCGGCGACTATATGCTCCCCCGAAATTTTTTCGGGGAGCATAAAAATGGTTTGCCCTCCAGAGAGTTAACAAACTCTGGTATAAATGCATTTTTAATTTCATTAATCTTAATAATCCTTCCGGAGATGATGGGTTTTTAAGTATGTACAGAAATGGTTAACTTCAGTGCGATGCCGCTCAGGCGGGAAATGTCATCGTAAACTACAACAATGAGCAACATCTGTCATAAAAATGGCATTTGTATAAAAATTGGTTCTCAGCTTCACATTATTATAATGAAGACGATATAATTATAATGTTTGCTTTACATTGAGAATGATGATTTAATGTCTATTTTTAGTTCAATTTGGTAACAGCAATAACACAAGTTTGAACGAAGACAATTCCAACTGGGAAATAAATTGTACATTCACAAGTCATAAAATAAAACAAAAATCATGACAAACATTTTCATATAAAGATGATCAGATGTTGTTTTTAATTTAAAATGCCAACTCTCCCAACAATTATCAGTTCTTACCTAGTTGCCAACATCTATTAGCACTTCTCAATAAATATCAATAAACATTACTTGTTTACTTGCTCCTAGTCTCACATTTTATCAAAACAATTCTATTTTATAACATGTGTAAGAAACTGTAAACAATGGTTAACAATCCTTTATTTAGCAATTTCAGTTAATAGCTTTATGTAGAAAAAGATGGCTTAAGGGATTTTAAAAATCCTGAATTAAGAAATAGTTCTGAAATTGTCCACTTAAGTCTTATTCAATAAGATTTCACTTTAGGATTTAAGTATAATCAACTTGTTTAATAATATGGTTACTCTTCATTGTTTCTCTTGACCTTACAGCCCTAGTTCCGCTATATGATTTTAGGAGTACAGTTTAATTTGAGTGTCTCCCTTATCTATCATTTGTACGGGAAATAATGTCAACTTAGAGCAGTGTAATTTACAGCACTACTTCATAAAACATCATACTGTAGACATGCTTAGTTGATACTTCAATCGGTTACATTGGCAGGACACTAATCTGACCATTCTCTTTATATATGATTTAAAGATGGTCTTAGGTATAACTTAATGGATCAATCTAATGATCTTAGGTATGACCCTATCAGGAATAAATATTATGGTCTTTGGTAAGACCTAATCTGGGATAAATGCATGTATAGTGGTCTTAGGTATAACATAATAAGGGACCAATATGATGGTCTTAGATATGAACTTAAGGGAATAATATATCTTTGGTAAGAACTAATTCGAGATCTGTACGATGATCAAGTATGAAATAATAAGAGATTGATGTGATGGTCTTAGGTATGACCTTATCACAGATGAAGTTAATGGACTTTAAAGATTGTAACATACTTACAATAAATTAAATTCACTAAAATCAGCATGGATAAGTTTACACTCATGGTACAGTGTGCGTAGTATTTGTATACACTGCATGTACAATTCTCTAGCCTTGGACTCGCTGATGTCACTGTCTTTAAGAAGAGGAGCAGGCCTGCAAACAAATGGTCATTTATCATTAGAAAGTCTAGTGCAGTTAAAGAATACATAGTTAATCCATAACCCAATAGAACAAGATGTCACAACTCAAAATTCATAGTTTAAACAGTATTCATTTTAACATATTCATTTAAGCATGTTTAAATATGATGAAAGCTTAAAGCTTAATAATTCTGAACCTCTCTGGGGTCTGCTTTCTGGAACTTTTACCAGCCCTGCTGACATGTAAAGAACCTGGTCGTGACCCCAGGAGGTCTTCAATGAATTTGCCCTCCTTTGATTTTGGAGCAGCTTATTTATAAGGGTATAAAGCTAAATCTAATGAATTTTTTCATAAAACCTATTGACAGAAAAATTCTTTTATTTCGGTATTCTTATGGCAGATTCTCCAAAGAGTTGTAGAATAGAATGTCTCTGTTATTATCACACATGGATATTGTATGAAATCAGAATTGAATAAACTGTTATGAAACAAAATATTATGATGCTTTTCTAAGTTTTAACAATTGTTTAAACAATGATTTTGTGTATACCCTATCTGCTTTTAAAAAAATATATAAACACATTTCTTTCATTTAGGTATTTTGGAAATATGCTTTTAAAAAATTAAAATAATAGTTATTGAATCAGATATAAAGCTTTATACACTTGAAGTCTATGAAATTTCTATATCAAAATTCAAAAAATAGAGCAACCAACAGTATATAAAGCCCCACTGATGTGCAGGGTAGCATAATATCTATACTAGTGGTAAGACTAATTACTTTCGTTTTTCCACCAATTAAGGGCTTAAATATTTCATGTTTTACTATCATTTATGGTATTTTAAGAGCCTTAAAATAGCAAGACCTGTTTCAAATTCAACATATACTAATTATGATATACAGTGTCAATATCAACATATGCCTTACATCAGCATAGGAAAATAACCATTTAACTAGTATCTTACCAACTATCTGTCCCAATAAAACCCATGACCAGGACATGACTGCGAAGTATTATAGGTTCAGGGCATAAAATTCCAGCTTGATGTATTCTGAAAAATATTATCATTATCTTTATTAAAGTGACTTCCCTTCAGCAAAAGTTCTCCATACACTATTTTTAGACTTTCCTATCCAAATTTTCTAACATAAAATAACCTATGGCTAACTGGAAATGTGGCCATAGGACAATGATGCCCCCATATTCCAACGTTTTGTACTATAGGATATAACATGAGATCACACCCAAGAATGGACAAGGCCAAGTCTAAATGCCCCTCCCTAGAGTAAGGGGCATAAAAAATGCAATGTTTTCCATTATCTTCAATAAGGTAACTAAAATGTGCTGTGTAATCAGAAAGTGGCATATTTGACAAGTGGATATTCAGTGGTGTTTACACTAACCTTACGTAATGACAATTACCACCCATGAACCAGTTACATTGAATGTTTGTAAAAAAAGTTAGCGGCTTGAATTTATTTTGATTGTAAATATGATTATGCCACAGACAGGCGATATTCATCAACTTGATTTCAATTATTTTTCACATAAATAGGTGTGTAACTAGAGGTTCTTTATTTATTATTAAATTATTTCAAAAACATAGTAAACTTAACGCAATTTAAAATGCTTCTCTCTGTTGTCCGTAAATTAATTTTAATTACATCTAGCCAGATAAAATATATCAACTTAGTCCAGAGGTAATAATTGTATTTACCTTATCAGATTGCGCATTTCTTTTTCTGCCCACGTTTTCACCATTTTTCGTGGATTGTGTTTGCAGTAACCATGACGAAATCTGAATTCACCACTGACATATTTATCACGATCTTTGAAAATCAATATGGATGTTTTATACACCTGTTTAAAAAAAAAATATGGAAAAATAAATCAACAAACAAGATATGTTTGTAAAACATGTATGCCCCCTATCAGCAGCCAATTAGTCATGTGATAAGGTTATTATGCATGACGTCTGACCCAGTGATCAAACAATTAATAAGGGTTATAAAGTATCTACTGGTCATGACCTTGACCTTTGACCCCTTGACCCAAAACTCAATAGGGGTCATCTGCTGGTCACGACCAATCATCATACAAAGTTGAAGTTCCTAGGCCTAGGCGTTTTTAGTAAATTGATCAGAAACCGTTTTTACCTACAAGGTCAATGTGACCTTGACCTTTGACCCCTTGACCCCAAAATCAATAGGGGTCATCTGCTGGTCATGACCAATCACCATGCCAAGTTTTGAAGTTCTTAGGCCTAAGGGTTCTCTTATTATTGATCGGAAACCGTTTTAACATACAAGGTCAATGTGACCTTGACCTTTGACCCCAAAATCAATAGGGGTCATCTGCTGGTCATGCACCAATCACCATGCCAAGTTTGAAGTTTCTAGGCCGAAGCGTTCTTTAGTTATTGATCAGAAACCGTTTTTACTTACAAGGTCATTGTGACCTTGACCTTTGACCCCTTGATCCCAAAATCAATAGGAGTAATCTGCTGGTCATGACAAATCACCATACCAAGTTTGAAGTTCCTAGGCCTAAGCGTTCTTGAGTTACTGATCAGAAACCGTTTTTACTTAAAAGGTCAATGTGACCTTGACCTTTGACCCCAAAATCAATAGGGGTCATCTGCTGGTCATGACCAATCACCATGTCAAGTTTGAAGTTTCTATGCCGAAGCGTTCTTTAGTTATTGATCAGAAACCGTTTTTACTTACAAGGTCATTGTGACCTTGACCTTTGACCCCTTGATCCCAAAATCATTAGGAGTAATCTGCTGGTCATGACAAATCACCATACCAAGTTTGAAGTTCCTAGGCCTAAGCGTTCTTGAGTTATTGATCAGAAACCGTTTTTACTTAAAAGGTCAATGTGACCTTGACCTTTGACCCCTTCACCTAAAACTCAATAGGGGTCATCTGCTGGTCATGACCAATCATCACACAAAGTTTGAAGTTCCTAGGCCTAAGAGTTTTAAGATAATTGATCGGAAACCGTTTTTACCTACAAGGTCAATGTGACCTTGACCTTTGACCCCTTGACCCCAAAATCAATAGGTCATCTGCTGGTCATGACCAATCACCATACCAAGTTTGAAGTTCCTAGGCATAAGGGTTCTTAAGTTATTGATCCGAAAGCATTTTTACCTACAAGGTCAATGTGACCTTGACCTTTGACCCCTAGACCCCAAAATCAATAAGGGTCATCTACTGATCATGACCAATCACCATCTCAAGTTTGAAGTCCCTAGGCCTAAGGGTTCTTTCATTATTGATCGGAAACCGTTTTTACCTACAAGGTCAATGTGACCTTGACCTTTGACCCCTTAACGCCAAAATCAATAGGGGTCATCTGATTGGTCATAAACCAATCACCATACCAAGTTTGAAGTTCCTAGGCCTAAGGGTTCTTTTGTTATTGATCAGAAACCGTTTTTTAATTAAAAGGTCAATGTGACCTTGACCTTTGACCCCTTGACCCCAAAATCTATACGGGTCATCTACTGATCATGACCAATCACCATACCAAGTTTGAAGTTCCTAGGCCTTAAGGTTCTTTAGTTATTGATCGGAAACCGTTTTTACCTACAAGGTCAATGTGACCTTGACCTTTGACCCCTTGACCCCAAAATCAATAGGGGTCATCTACTGATCATGACCAATCACCATACCAAGTTTAATGTTCCTAAGCCTTAAGGTTCTTTAGGTATTGATCGGAAACCGTTTTTTACCTACAAGGTCAATGTGACCTTGACCTTTGACCCTTGACCCCCAAAATCAATAGGGGTCATCTACTGATCATGACCAATCACCATACCAAGTTTGAAGTTCCTAGGCCTTAAGGTTCTTTAGTTATTGATCGGAAACCGTTTTTGCTTTTAAGGTCAATGTGACCTTGACCTTTGACCCCTTGACCCCAAAATCAATAGGGGTCATCTACTGGTCATGACTAATCACCATACCAAGTTTGAAGTCCTAGGCCCTAAGGTTCTTTAGTTATTGATCGGAAACTGTTTTTGCTTTCAAGGTCAATGTGACCTTGACCTTTGACCCCTTGACTCCAAAATCTATAGGGGTCATCTACTGGTCATGACCAATCACCATACCAAGTTTGAAGTTCCTAGGCCTTAAGGTTCTTTAGTTATTGATCGGAAACCGTTTTTGCTTTCAAGGTCAATGTGACCTTGACCTTTGACCCCTTGACCCCAAAATCAATAGGGGTCATCTACTGGTCATGACCAATCACCATACCAAGTTTGAAGTTCCTAGGCCTAAGGGTTCTTTAGTTATCACTCGGAAACCATTTGGTCTACGGACCGACGGACCGACAAGTGCAAAGCAATATACCCCCTTTTTTTCAAAATGGGGGCATAATAAAAATGTTTGCAAGAAATGTAAAGTTAAAGTTCAATTCAAGTTGTAATCATTTAAAACAAAAATATTTGTCCATAACCAGTAATATTCTTTACTTATACAAAATAGAAATCCTAATTTTATACAAATAAATTAACCAATTAAAAAGAAAAATTCTTGCAAGATTAAATCATTTAAATCATTTTTTTAACCGATTTGCTTTTATTACACTCATATTTGTTGACATTGTGTCAAATGTAAAAGAATTTTATAAGACACATTGTCTTTCATTCTAATCCTGTTTTTTAAGAATATTTGAATTGCTCTCTGTATATTGTAAATTGTAACATGTATATATATATTCTGAGAAATAAAATATGTTTAAACTAAATGTAAAAGACCAGTCAACGGATAGATAAAAAAAACACCATTTTTAGGACACAAAATTGTATGTAGGTCCATTTATCAATATTTTTGAAGGTGAACATTTGAGGCAAAGTTTGAATAAAGTCTTTCATTCAGTACAGAATTCACTATGCAACTGTCTGATATTGACATTATGACCTTCAAGAGTCCTTTGACCTTGACCAGGATAGCATCAACATGACTTCTGCATATGACCTTGTTGAGGTTAAATTTGACCTAAATAAGAGGGATAGGATTGATAGTGTGAATACAAAATTGTCTGACATTTGAAATGCAAGCTAAAGGCAGGGAAGGTCTAAGAGAAACCACATGTCATCACCTAATAGGTTGAGATGATTTATCATTTTAAGTTGACTAGTTTCAATCATAAACAATGATCTCCATCAGACC